TATACAAGCTAGAGCTAAAGCCCTCTCCTGATTCCTGAGCTGTTGGAGGAGCAATAGAATGGCCAGCAAATACGAGAGTAAGTACAACAGTGATGAAGATGAAAACGAAGATATATATGAAGTCCTTCCGGAGCTTCAGTTGCAACTGGAATCAGTGAAGTGAGCCACTCACTAGTTGATAGTACAGTACACTCAGTCTCCTCTTCCTTTTATCATTGCTAGCTGGTTCCACCCGTATCTGACCCGCCATCAGTCTGATGCTATACTCCAAACCTCACAAGAAGGTGTTTATCTTTTACGAAAGAGGAGTCGCGGGGGCTGGGGCCGCTATTCACTTGATATAAAGTAACTAGCACCACAGAAATACAATATCATTATTGTGTGACCTAATTCAGTTTACATTGTTATTGCAAATGCTGACTCCTTTGCATTGTTCTAGAGGTAAACAATCAGTGAAACACTTTCCGGTTGCATTGACTGAGAGAGGAGTCAGTCTTGGATCAAAACTATTTGATTCAGTTCATATATTTCTAACTCATTTCCAATCAAACCCTGTCATTGCCGATGAATCAGGTTAGAACCAAAAAATGAGTTAACCACTCACCATGCAATATCTTTTAACTGCTATCTAATCTAGTATTCAGTTACTTGTATGTAGTTTGAGTTTGTAATGTATTTTCCATATTTGTCAACATAAGTAAGTATAAAATTACCATTTTCACCAATTACTATAGATTATAAGATTTTTGAGCTGTAGACGGTAGTAATATACATATAAGGTTATCTATTGTTAGTTTAGTTGATGATACTGTGAATTGATTGTCATAATAGGACAGCCATTATCAGTACAATCAATGCTCATACCAGCAAATCAGGCATGCATTGAAGACATGAATAACGAAGGAATGTTGAAATTAATATAACTGTGAATTCTATTTGGTTTTATATTGTTCTCTTTTGGGACAAGTTATCATTTCTTTAAAATGTTAGGATCATTTCTGGAATGTAAATTTCCCTACCCACAAAAAGTGAATGAATTTGAAGAGTACAACAAAGTGACTTGTCATTTTCTGTATGGAGACGATGATTCTGATGAAGATGATGAAACCAGAGTTGGCTATTCTGTAAGTACAGCAGGAATGATAGTGTACGAAGAATATAAAGAATATAATTATAGATTATTTAAACAGTGACCCAAGAGTTAAATTGTCATCTCCTCTTGGTTTGTAGGCTGCCACTAAAGAAGGATACATTAAGAAGCAAGGAGGACAAATTAAAGTATGTTCACAATGTTTATCTATTGTACACATTCAATCACTGAAATGACTGCAGTCATGGAAAACAAGATGGTTTGTTTTAAAAGATGCGAATTTGTCCTATTATTCAAATCACAAAGTAAACACCAAATAAGGAAGTGAATGAGGTAGCCATTGCCACTCTCTTCTCATCTCAATTAGAGTAAGAAGCCAATCAAAGTGATACCAGTGGACAAGATAGTCCATATATTAGGAGATGATCCTTCGAAATGTTTCAGGTAATATCCATAACACAATAATAGAGTCTGAATAGCGTGGGAGAGTGTAGAGTTATTGTGTCGTGTTCTGTTATTACCAATTATCCATTTTGGTCATCAACATTGTCATAATTATGGACACTAAGTGAAGGGATATGGTAATCCTT